ACCCCCACCCCAAACCTTCTAAGGCAAATATTTGGAGACTTTGGGAAAGACAATTCAGATTTAGCTCAAAGGATGTCTCTGCACTCCTGGGAGTGCAGTAGATTTTTACTGGGAGTAGATTTTTATCCTGATTTTTTTCTTTTTCCTTCCTTTTTATGCGTTTTTATCAGACTACACAGTTGCCCTGCAATTACCAGGGCAGGAAAGTGGTCCCTGATCCATCAGTTTTCTGCTCTGTTGTAGACTATAGACTGGCCTGCACAGAGCACAGATAGAATAAAAAAATATTTCCTGTTAAAAATAGGTCTTCATTCACGTTGCTGACGACAGGGATCTTTCTTTTCTTTTCTTTTTTAAGGAAAACGTCAGCATTCAGTGGGAAAAACACATGGTTTGCATGTGAGAAATCCCAAGTTCAGTCTGTAGAGGGAACCGGAGAATCTGCAGTGCTGGCCAAGGAACAAGGCTCAGTGGAAGGCAGCTCTCAAAGAGCCTTTAAATCTGTAATGCCTGCTCTGTAAAACCCTGATATGTGGAAAGCAGGTTTGAGTTGGCTATCCAGGGCAAGAATATGAAAAGGACATAAGTCAGAAACTTTATATATTTTTTCACATGAACTGGAGAACAAAACTTAGAAGGCAGGTTTTACAGGGTGTTTTTTTATAGCTGGAGCAAACCTGACACTCCAACACCCTTTACCACCTAAAAGTAAATCTGAGCTTATGCATGCAAACACCAAGAGATTGTGTTAGTTTGATCACCAAGGGGCACATAAATGTGTCAGTAAGGCTACCTCATCCTCACATCTACAGGCTGGTGCCACACAGGTGAAGGACATCCTAGACATAAATCAAATCTGAATAGTGAGTAAATAGCCAGTAAAATACTTGAAATAAATTCTACCAGTAAAGAAACCACCGAGGTTGACAAGCTCCTGGTTCCAAAAGTGAATAGAATCACCACCTTTACCTGTGACCGAGGGTGCAGAAAACGATGGCATCAGCGGTGTCTGAGGTGCACAACCCGCGTGGCCTTTGGTGATGTCATAAGTGGAAGACACAGAAAAACCAGACATGGGGGGACCGGTAGAAGGGGCAGAAAGGGCAGGGCCAGGAGTGGAATTTACTGGTGGAGAAGATGGGAACTGGGGGACAGGGTTACTGAAAGTTGATGCCACTGGTGGAGTAACAGAGGGAGGAAGAAAATTCCCCCGGGGAGCGCTTGCAGTGGAAAGAGTTGCAGAAGGCAGAACAGGCAAAGAGGACGGTGGCTCTGGCGAGGACATTTGGGGTGGTAAAGGCGAGGCAAACTTAGGAGAAGGAAAAGTTGAGGCTGCAGGCATATTTGGAGAAGGGGTGGGGAGGGAAGAAGGGGGAGGGAGAGGAGGGAGAGGGAGAGGGAGAGGGGGGGAGAGAGACAGAGAGAGAGAATTTTTAACACATTTAATAAAATAAGACGAAAATAAGGTGAAACATACATTTTCCACTCCTTCAGGAATGAAAAACCAATACAGTAGATTCCAAAATTTAGAAACAAAGATTTTGCTTAATTGCAACAGCTCAGTGGTTGAGATCCCTGGCTGCCGAGCCAGAGGTTTGAAGTTTGATTCCCTACCATGCCTTCTTGAAAGCGACTACACTTGACGATAAGGAAGAACTCTCTGATTGATGCCTGATAGTGAAACTGATAAGAGTGCGGCAAGCTCTTTTGCTGACAAGTTTTTAAATACAGGTTGGAAGGCCTTTCTTCAAGGGATGCTTTAACTGAATTTCTGACATTGGCAGGTTTGACAAATTTATGATTCTCTAAAACAAACACTATTGCCATGGTCATGTGTTCAAAAGAATACAATGGTGCCTCGTATTGCGACATTAATTCGTTCCAGCGAAATCATTGCTGAACGAAAATGTCGCAATGCGAAAATAAATGCATCGAAATGCATTAAAACGCGAAATGCATTAAAACGCGATTAATGCCTTCATATGGGCTTAAAACTCACAGTTCAGCGAAGATCCTCCATAGCGCGGCCATTTTCAGTGCCTCTTAAGCGAGGAATCCGCCCCAGAAAACAGCGGGCGGCCATTTTGAAACTGCTGATCAGCTGTTAAAATATCATCGCTTTGCGATGATCGGTGCCCGAAGCAAGGAACCGATCATCGCAAAGTGAAAAAAAAAACACTGGGAATGTCGCAAAGCGATCACAAAACTTCGTCGCAAAACGATTTCGTCGTAAAACGGAGCAATCGCTATGCGAGGCACCACTGTACATAAAAGCCTCAACAGTGTAACAAATGCAGGGCATAGCAATCAGCTTCACCCCAAAATCCCCTGCAATAGATTTTCCACTTCTCACCTTTATAATTGTAAGCAGGGCTGCAACCTCTTAGATCTTCAGACACAACACACAAATGTTGTGGGATAGCACATCCAATGTTTACTAGAGCTGTATTCTTTTGGTTTTTTTGGACTCCCAGCATTCTTCAAGAATTCCCCAGGCAGAATTCTGGGAGTTTCAGCCCATAAACATATGCCTACAAAAGCATACACTACAATTTGCTCAGGTGCTCTGATGCAGCATGGCCTTCTCTAGCCCATGCTTCCTCTTGTTAATGCAAAAGCAAAACAAAAAAAGGGGGCGAACTGCTGCAATGCTTCCTCAGCACTGTAGTTCATCAGGAGGTACCGCCTGCAGAGCTTAATAAGCAGAAAGCCATGCACCTCTGGAAGCAGCTCCTATTCTAGGCAAGTGAAATGTACATGTCTGTTGGTATGTGTTTATGTCCTGAAACGACCAGAATCAGAGAAGCTGGAGTCCAAAAAAGACTAAAGAGCACACCCTTATTCTCTCCACAATCTTGCTGTCCATATGTATTATTTTGAATACTGCAAAAAACCTTCTATCAGAAATCTCTGGCAGGCTGCATGATCTCCTTCAAAGAATTATAATAAAGACAGAGGCCAAAATCTTGCAGCTTAGCAAAATGGAATAGAGTAGGCCAACTGAATGAATGGGGATTTAGAGAGTCAACTCCTCTGTAGGTTTCATTAATTCAAATGAATCTATTCTCACTATGACTTACTATAAGTTGCGATGAGTAGGCCTGTTAGAATCAATGGAACGTACGGAGGGGTTGATTCATCAAATCCCCATTGATTCAATGGGCCTAGTTTAGTACAATTGACTATACTAAGGAACAGGATTTAAACAATTGGTTCAATAACTTTTTAAGAACTGGCTCCATCTATCCGCAAGAGATCTTTATTACAGGTGAATTCTCATCAGTGAGCTTATTGCTTTAGTTACAAAACATGCTGTCATCAAATGGCTAATCTTGAAATCTTTTCCGAATCACCAGTGAAGCTGAAAACAAACAAGCCTCCAGATTATATTATAAGAGCAGTCCAACTGCTGACCCCACAAAGGACGTGAATGCAGGAAACCTTATGGTAGAGAAATAAAAGGAATACAAAGGCTTTGGCTGGTTTCCTAAAAGCAGGGAAATAGGCAAAACAAAACTCTTTCTCTCTGTGTCTGAGTCAAAAACACACACACGTATCTCTCCTCTACTCCTCACCACCTCAGAAGGCTTTGGGAACAATCGGCTGCTTTCCTTGTTATTTTTCTCTTTTTTAAAACTTCACCTCAGGTCTACTTTTCTATTTTTAAAAACATGTGGGCTTCCATACTAGACATTGTTCCAATACCACTACTCAGAGCACATTACCACTCTCGAGACTAAAGGATGCCTAAAGGGCTTGCATAGTTAATTGTATGGTTTCTTTACTGATTTTATTGTGATCAGCCTTAAGATCAAAAGGCAGCGTTCTGATCTAATTAAAAATAACAGAATAGGTAAAGGTAAAGGTTCCCGTAGAAATTTCGTCCAGTCGTGTCTGACTGTAGGGGGTGGTGCTCATCCCTGTTTCCAAGCCATAGAGCTAGCGTTTGACCATAGACAGTTTCCATGGTCACGTGGCCAACGGGACTAGACAGGGAACTCCATTACGTTCTCACCGAGATGGTACCTATTTATCTACTCGCATTTTAACATGCTTTCGAACTGCTAGGTTGGCAGGAGCTGGGATAAGTGACGGGAGCTCCCTCCGTTGCATGGATTTGATCTTACGACTGCTGGTCTTATGACCTTGCCGCACAGAGACTTCTGCGGTCTAACCCGCAGCGCCAACACGTCCCTATAACAGAATGGGAAAGGTCAAAGAAAAGTTCATTGAAGTACAACTCGCCATTCCCTGCTAGTTTTTGATAAGACAGGGTAGAAAAGAGGGGATTTGAGCATAGCTTCTCATCAATGGAACAAATACAAAATGGGATATTATCTGGAGCCGACGGAACAGGAAATGTCCTGCATTTGTATTAAGTACTCCAAAATTAGCCTGGAAAAGTACACTGCAATTATGCTGACTATAACATCTGCTATTAATGGTTGGTAAGCTCCATAAACACAGAAACAAAAGCATCAGTCACTGAAGAAGTGTTTATACTTAATGAGATAGGGGTGCTTGCAGGAGCTGTGGCCCCTCCTGTACTTAGTACGGGAGTTCCAGGGGGAGTTGTTTCTATACCACTTTCTTCCATCATTTTCAGTCCGAAATCCAGAGCTGGGGGAAAAAAAGGGAGAGAGAGAGAGTAAATATACACACTTTGGGACAAAAGGCTTTCCAAAACGAACAGCACTGTGTAGTCCTAATATTGGTGGTTTTAAATTTATACATACCAAAATTGGTCTGATTCCCTTTTGATACAAAATATACTGCTCAAGAAACCTGCTTCAATGTTCCCTGAACAACTAGACCCATGAACCTACAGAAACTCACACCAGGAACTCCTATCCACAGCCAGCTGAATGGAAAATCTTTCCGCTCCTGGCCCTGAGTTTTAGGCTGGGACTGTAGTCACTGTGATGAGATGGGGGGAAACCCTGAGGGCAGGATAACAGAGACACAAAATGAAGCATTAAAGATGTTGCCAAATTTACACTTTTCTTCCAGCAGATGGTGAGTATGCATTTCAAAGTGCTCTTTGAAGATGGACTTGTAAACCACATTTGGTGCAAGGAAGCCGGGACAGCACTTGGTGGGCCTTGATATGCAGTTAGACTCACCTCTATCTCTACTTTTAGAGGCAGATCAATAAATTGGGCTATGGGATATAATCTCAAAAATGATAGAATGATGCCAATATGAATCCAAGGCAGAACTTTCAAAATCACAATAATCCAAGTTTATGCACCAACCACCATTGTTGAGGAGATTGAAATTGAACAATTTTATGAAGATTTACAACACCTTCTAGAACTGACACCAAAGAAAGATGTTCTTCTCATTCTAGGGGATTGGAATGCTAAAGTAGGGAGTCGAGAGATAAAAGGAACAACAGGGAAATTTGGCCGTGGAGTTCAGAATGAAGAAGGGCAAAGGCTAATAAAGTTTTGTCAAGAGAACAAGCTGGTCATCACAAACACTCTTTTCCAACAACACAA